GATGCCCAACGCCGCAGCTCCGAGTCCCTACCGTCACTTGTTTAGGGACGAGACCCCGCTGGGCGAAGCGTTGGAGGCGATTCGCGAAGAGCAGGGGAGATCCGGAGAGGTTCCCGAAGATGTTGAACCGCCTCCTCCGGCGTTCCCCGACGAGCTTTTGGAGCCCCAAGATCCGGACGTGGACGCTCCCCGGGAAGATACCCCGAGGGAGCACGTCCAAGCGATGAGGGAAACCTTTTCAGACCTTATCTGGAACGCCCACGATGGGCTCAGAGAAGAAAAGCTCGCCGCGGGTGTCTTGAACCCTATCGCAAAGCAGACTGACACCCAACTGGAGATAGATCCCCCTATGCTGGAAACGGATCTGCTCCCTCGAGAGAAGGGGGGTGTCCAGAGGACTGGAACCCCGCCTGATCCACGATGGGGTGCGGAGCCTCAGGCTTCCAGCCCTAAGAAGAAAGCTCCGCCATCTTCGGCGACGCATTCCGAGGATCAGGAGATGGCTCCTGCTCCTCCGGATGCCTCTCAGGAGGCGTCTTCCTCCTCTGCAGCGCCTGCGGCCAACGTGACTCCCCCAGCTGAGGCAGGGAGTCCGGAGGTCCGGATCCCTAGCCTCGCGGAGTCTATGAAGGCAGGCTTGGCACGGGAAAGAGCGGCGGCACGCGCCAAGGAGGAGCTTGCTGCTTCGGCCCAGGAGGCCGCGGCTGCGGCTCCTGAGGCACGGCGCGACACCCGCCTTCCTGCAGTGACCAAGGAGGAAAAGGAGACAGCAGAGGCTAAGTCCCTCTCCTCCCTCAAGCGCGCCGTTGAGGAGAGCGGCTCTGAGCGTCAAGGCCCCGCGGCCAAGCGGGCCACCACCAAGAAGGAAGAAGCGCCCTCGGCACCAGCCGGCCCTGCAGGAGCCGCGGCCGGGACAGGCGCGGCTCCCTCGTCTAGTGGCGAGGCAGGTGCCGAAGAAGGTGCCAGCGGGGCCGCTGCTCCGTCGAGCACAGACAAGCGGCGACCCGCGGAGCCGGAGGGACCGCCGCCGCCCAAGAAGCGATTCACAACATGGCAGGATACCATGGAGTCGCCGGCTCCCCAACACCGAGTTTCGGGGGTTTACGGACTCTCGAACGAGGTTCCCGGGGCCGATTGGCGCGACGTGGACTGGGATGCGACTCCACCGCCGGGGCCTGGAAGGCCCGGCGCCCGCGACGTGGATCCCAGGCTCACGGTCCCCCTTGATCTCCAACATGATGAACAGATCAGGGAATTCTTCCGAGGCGGTGGTGAGCATACGCTCGAGCAGCTCCTCGCGTTGGCGCGGCGCCGGAGGCGCGCGTTCGTCTACCAGGCTGCGATTTTGTCGAACAGGCCAGTGTTTGAAATCTGGCCCGATTACGATGAAAACGAGCTTGGACCGACACCCGAGCGCGTTCCGCTCCTCACAGGCAAGGTCTGGCCTTGGGGCTGGTGGGATTGCTTTACTTGTGGGCGTGCGAACCCACCAGAACGCAATACCTGCCGGCACCATGATTCCGAGGAGCTCGGAGGTGCCCCCTGTGTGGGGATCTTCGAGGACAGCCTGTACTGGAGCACGCCGGTGGACCTGCGAACGGCGCCGGCGTGGTTCATCGAGGTCTGGCTCGATGAACATAAGGAACGCATAAAGGAGTACCTTTATGCGAAGCGTTCGGACGCGATCGCCGCCGCAATGTCCAACGCCTACTGGACCTGTGGGCGGGACACATGCCAAGAGAGGAACATGTTATGGCGCAAACTGTGCTTTAAGTGCAGTGGCCCTAAGTCGGGCGCGTCGTTCATAACCCACGGCATGCCGCCCCAGGAAGGCGACGATGAAGCTGCTTCTTCGTCGGAAGAGAGCGAGGGCACGAAGATGGAACGGATCGAGCGTTCCATCAACGCCGATCCCCTTGCGGAGCATGCGAGGAAATTCCTCCGCTCCGGACGGAAGAGGCTCCGCGCTGAAAAGCGCAGGCAGGCAGAGCTCTCTCAAGACTCTGCCCGAGCCTGGTGGAGCCAACCTTCCTCCGGGCGCGGTGCACCCAGTGGGGGCCGCAGCTCTGGCAGCAAGGGTGGTGGCAAAGGTGGTGGAAGGGGAAGCTCGAACCGCTACGGCAACCGAGGATGGTGGGCCGGAGGTGCTGCCGGACTGGCATACTCCTCCCGACTCGGCGAGCGTGCTGGGCAGCCCGCCCTCACGCTCCCACTGCGTGGCCCGGGTGGCCACAGAGTGGCGCCCGAGGCCCCTGCCGTTTCTTCTCGCCCCGCTGTCTCTTCCGGGCCCTCGAACCGTGGTGGGTTCCTTGGGGCCGTGCGCTCGATAGGCGCTGCGGTCTCCAGCTGGGCTCTCTCCAGGAGAGCGCGCAATCGCGCAGCCCACGCCACAACGGGCAACATTGGATGGAAGATGGGTTTGGTGGCCGCTGCGCTGGCGCCTACCCTCTTCACTGTTGAGCGCGGTGCCAGAGAGGTGGCACACGTGAGCCTCACTGCAGTTGCCACTGCGGCGGAGGACCTCATCGAGGAATCCTCTGGTATCCTCGTTCGGGGTGTCCGCGTGGTTGGCTTGACGGCCGTCGTCCTACTGTGGACGTTCGCGGCCGTAGTGCTGTGGTGGGCCGGACGTGTCGCCACTAACCGGCTAATGCACGCCATGAACGGTAACCCCTTTGGGAATGCTGTTCTGGTGTCGCTCGAAGGCCGGGAGGCTGTCTTTGAGGTTGCATCAAAGACTAAGGCCGGAGCACACAGGGTTCTTGTGAAGGTCGGGTCGGGCGCGGACGGCGCAGGCTGCGACTGCAAGGCATGCCTCAACGAGGGACGTTGTGGTCACATAGAACGCGCTGTTGAAGCTGCGGGGCAACTCGTGGCCATGACAGGCGCGAGCGCTGCCCCAACGCTGTCCGTTGCCCCGGCCGCGACTAGACGGGCCCGTGCAATCCTCGGCCCGCCGGCCCTGGAACAGGGGTGCCTTTCCGGCATGGTGTCGAAGGCGAGGTCGCTCTCGGAAAGAGCCCGGAATGTCGGCAACCCGTCTGAGGGCTGCCTTGACGGCATTACCAGGCTCAGAGGCCGCCAGGAGGTGGCCACAGTGTCGGCGCCTCCGACAGAGACTGTCCCGAAGACGCCTGCAGCAGAGGCTCCCCGCCAAGGTACCTCTGCAGCGTCTCCGGCCCTGACAGCTCCCATGTCGAGCCAGGCACGCCGTGTCAGAGACTTCCCGATCCCTGACGGCTTCGAGCGAGCCGGGGTCAAGTTTCTGACCCTTCCGGAGTATCACGCTGTGGTACAAATGATGCTATCGGACGCTGGGCATGGGGACCACGTTTACGTGCGAGCCTACAGCTTCGATAGCAAGCCTTTGGTTGGAGCCCTCGTGGCCTCGCTGGAGCGAGGCGCCCGAGCCCACGTGCTTGCCGACAACTCGCAGACGAGCCGGACCAAGCTCCAGCTGCAGTCCCTCAAGGAGCTAGGGGCGGCTGGCGTCCAGGTCCGTGTCGGCAAGGGCACCTCGGTCAAGGCGGCTTACGCCGCCGATAACCGCACGGACGTGAGCATCGGCGCAGGCCTCGCGGGCATCCACCACGCCAAGACGGTGCTCGTGACGAGGCCGGACTCCACAGTTAGCGCCGTGATAGGAAGCCTAAACTTTAGTGCTAGTTCACGGGCCAACGCGGAGGTCGGCATCGCGGTCGCCAGTGTGCTGACCTCTGAATTTAGCCAAAAGTGGCTAGATTCGTTTGGCACCGAGTGGTCCAGGGCGCTGAAGCTCGAGGAGTTCGAAGCACCTCAGCGGAACCACCGCGGGCGGGCAAAACCCTCAAATGTCCAGCAGCCCGCCGCGCAACCCAACGTGGAGCCGCAGTGACCGTGGACTAGAAGTCGCGGACTGCTCTCCGCCCTTCTAGCCACCTGTGGCAACTTCAGTTTTGGTCGCAGCACCTAGCTGCTTTCCGATGAGACGACAGGGTGGCGTATCCGCTCTACAGGTCTTTGACGGGAGCGGCTAGGGAGGCACGGTAGTGCTCCCGAAGCGCGTGGAGTAACGCCGCAGCTTCAGCTGCTCGTTTCACCACCCCTGTGGCCGCAGTGCGGCGCAGGCTGTGTACAGTAGGAAACCAGAGCCTCGTGCAGCACAGGCCGTGAAAAACGAAGGTCTTGTGCTGAGTGCGAAGGGTTTGTAGGAGGGCAGGGTCTGTAGGTCAGTTTTACGGCCTCCGGCCGCCCGCGGAATCCTACGGCTCTATCGTGCTCTAGGCTGAGGGGCGAATGTAACTGTACATAGTCTGCGGGCTGGCTGTTGTGCTGTATGCTTTTATGCATGCTCTTCTGTAATTCGTATTCATAACATTTTTGGCTCAAGTGAGCACGCCAGTGTGTCGTTGGTAGCTTCTCGTTGCCGCGACGCAATTGCGCGCAGCCCGTCCTGGGCGGACGTTCGACCTGTCACGGTCGTTGGACTTTCTGCTTGGACGGAAAACGAGGGTGCGTGCTGCCCCTTTGGGTTTCCGTTCTCCACATACTATTACTATTACTATTACTATTACTATTACTATTACTATTACTATTACTATTACTATTACTATTACTATTACTATTACTACTACTACTACTACTACTGCTGCTACTACTACTACTGCTACTACTACTACTACTACACATGGAGAAAGTTTTTTTTGATTGGAAAATAGTTTTTTTTTGATTGGTGAAAAAGTTTTTTTTTGATTTTCGCTGAAAGTTTTTTTTTGATTGAAAAAAAGTTTTTTTTTGATGGCTTTCCCTGGTTTTGTCACATGGCCTAGCAACTGTGTGTGCACTACATCCCCCAGCCTCGATCCTGAATGCCAAATGCTTCAATCATAAAATCATAGACCCTGAGTCTTCGATCCCAAAGCAAACCGCTAAGCCCTAACCCCCCGGCGCCCAACCTCAAAAAAAACACACACCCAGGCCCCACACCAACACCCAAGCCCGGCGCTTCACCCAAGCGCGAGGACGTCCTCTCCAGTGCCGCGGCGCTGCAGGCAGCGCGTGCTGAAGCCGAGGCCCCGCCCGGGGCATTCAGGATGAGTTTAAGTTCAGGGCGGTTCGGGGCTTGTTAGGGTAAGCCCTAAGCTCTTCGTAGCAAAGCAAATTTAGGAGTGTCAAAAAACAGGAAGGGAGACTAGTCTGGACCAAAGGTGCTGGATTCTTTTGGAAAAGGGAAGGCCCCTAATAAGGCACCCCTAACGTCAAGAAGCCCCTAGACCTCGGTGCGGGAAGCTTCTGGCCCTCTGAAGACTTCATTCGGCCTGGGCCCTGCCTGAAGCGCGGTAGTCACCACCTAAACCGAACGTGAGCCTCGACTCCCCGAGCCACCCTGATCTTACCTTTGGTAGGGAATGGAGTAATGGGGTACAATTATAACTACAACTACTACAACAACTACAACAACAACTACTACTACTGCTACTGCTACTACTACTGCTACTACTACTACTACTACTACTACTACTACTACTACTACTACTACTACTACTACTATCATTCTTCCATTCCTTACTAGCCAAAGGTAAGAGATCTGAAGTCGAGAGCCCAATGAGCTTTCTCCGTAGGACTGGCAGCCTCCCGGGCCTAGATGGGAGTTTCCGAAAATAGGGGACCCTAATATACTACCCCAAATAATAGGATCCTTATTATAAGGACCCCAAATAAGGTACCCCTAATTTTCGGAAATTCCCAGATCTCTACAACCCCCTAACCCCAAACTTTGGGAATCCCGAAGTCCCCAAACCCCTAACACAACCCGTACCCCCAAACGGGAGACGTACAGTGCCCTTAGTAGCTGAGTGGATACACTGTACACTTTTTGGGCTAATATTCCCCACTATGAAATTAAAAGTCTACACTTTCTGGGGCTTACGCACTCAGCAACTAAGTCCCTTGCGAACTAAACAAGCCACAAACCCCTCATCTCCGCAATGTAATAAACCGTGTGGTTGTACTAGCCGTACATGCGTAGCTTGTACAACGAGCTTCCAGGCCCGCGGGGAGCTGGAAGAGCCTGGCGGCCCACCCGCGAAGCGTCCATGTATCGGTTGAAAAAAGGATGCGTTGATGGCTCTTAGGGTTCATGTGAGAGTCAAGACAGGTCTGGGGTGAAGAGCGTTTAGGGGGTTCTACACGCTAACGTCTTAGTCATCGGGCTCTTCATCTCCTTAACCCGGGAGCCCTCAAATCAATACAGAAACTTTCAGGCCCAAACCCCTACACCCCAAACCGCCACCCCGAACCCTTAAACCTTCCACCCCAAAACCCCTTAAAAGCTTAAGCCCCAATCCCTGAACCCTCATCCCTGAGCCCCAAACCACATTCTGACATGGAACCTCGGAAGTCCTTGGAGGCCAACCTTCGCGGCGATGCCCCAGTTCAGCACCGGAGCACAGTAGGGTTCAGGGTTAGGGCTTTGGGGTTTAGGATTTCGAGTTGTGGGGTTTGGGGTTTAGAGTTTAGGGTTTAGGTTCGGGCTGAATAGGGGGGCCTTAGGAATCAGAACAGTGTTTTCGGGTATCCTATACTATAACCATATTCAGGAGCCCTAAGAATAGTGTTCGTTTAGGGTTTCAGGTTTTGGGGTTTGGGTTGATGGGGCTTAGTGTTGTCGAAGGTTTTGGGGTTTAGGGCCTGGGTGTTCGGTTTGGAGGTTCAGCAGTTCGCTAGGGTGCCTGCACCTATGCCCTGAACCTTGGATCCAGAGTTAGGGTTTGAAGTTTAGGGACCTGGTTCGCAAGCCTTTGGGATTGGGAAGTCTTCGCGGTGTTGCCGCCGCCTCGCGTTTCGCCCAGTAGTTTGGCTTTCCTTTCAGAGGCAGAGGATTTCCCAGTCAGTGCGGAAGGCTGTTGTTGTTGTTGCTGCTCGTTCTTGGACCCTAAACTTTACAAGCACTATAAGGGCTCGCCGGAGTTCCCAAGCCACGGCCCTTTGCGTTACTGTGCTGCAAAGCGGAATCACTCGTAGCTTTGTGCTGTTGTTTTCAAGCCTTGCCTGATCCAGTATAGCAAGGATTGCTGCTGTTCCCAGTGGGTTGGGATCATCTTCAGAGCTATGATACCTATGTAAGGGATGAACCTCCTCAAGCCTTAAATACCCGTCAGCCTCTGCTTCGAAGGCATGATTGGTCCGGTTTATCTCCAGGTCTACAAAATGACGCGCCGACCTTACGAGGTTCAAGCGCAAAGGGCTTTGATGGGTCGACGGTGTGTCGATTTTTGGGCCGTTGCCCTGTGGGTTCAGTGTCTCAGGGTTTGGTGTTTAAGGTAAAAGGCAGGAAGTTGGAATATGATTATCCTAAGCCCTTTATGGTAGATTATAAGGTATCCTACCCTGAAACCATATTCCAACTTTCTGGAGTTCCCTTTAATGTTTGTGAAGCCCCAAGCAATCAGTTTGAAGTCTGAGCTCAAACCCTAAGCCTTTGAGCTTTGGCCCGGCTCTTATACTTTAAAGAATAAGCAGAGTAGCATGATGGAGCCCGTGTGGAACCCTCATGGAACTCTATAAAGAAAGAGTTCGACACTATAACATTACCACAATGTGCCAACGTGTGCTGTAACATGCTGTATCATAGATTGCAATGCCCGATAACTGACGGTAGCATAGTATATGATACTGTACCGTAGTATACGAAGATATGACAGTATATCATACACATCTGATATCATATAATGTAGTGTGATATAATGTACCAAAAGAGAGCCTGGCGGAGCATAGCATAGCAGTAGTATAGCACAGCATATCGTGAACTGTATAATATATCAGAAGCCATTGAAACAAACAGATACACTAGAGCTCCACATGCTATGCCGTCTAAAAGTCTATACCGTCCTGCAACATAAGGTCGCGTACAAAAATCATACAACCTTGTATCAACCGCATGACATGTCGTAACATGATACAATAGGTGGTAGTAATGTGCATAATATAGCACAATATGACATACTGAAGCAGAATACAACATAGCATAACATGCTTTGGCAGAATATAATACAATATCGCATAACATGAGAATACATAATGCGACATGGCAAACCGAAAGATACAACATTAAATAGTATAGGATTTTTAAGCATAACATCCGATCATGTAACAGAGTGCACGCTCAGGGACAGCCGTGCAGTGGCTGTGCTCGCAGCATCGCTCGTGTGAAGCTAAGCGGGGCTTTCACGTTCTTGCTTAGGGTTTAGGGGTTTGTACTTCAAGGTCTTGGTGTTTAGAGATTAGCATGTCGCCGATTCTATCAGGATCATCTGGAAATTTGCGGATTAATTAATTCATTTTTTTAAGCGGAAGGTGGTTGTCGAACGATTCCAAGCATGCAAATAGGCCATTCTCCATCTGTCTCTCTATCTGTCATTTGTCTGTGTCAATGGATCTATCAACCGACCAGCCCATCTATCCATCTGTCTATCTGTCTATTTGTCCACCTACATACCTGCCTACCTACCTATCTATGTACCTACCTACCTAATCTATCTATCTCTTCAGTTGTTGTAGTTTATCCATCGAGATATGCCAACCATCATGAAAGATACATCCGAAAGAGCGTGTTGTGCAATTTTCTGTCACTCCTTCGAGCTCCCGCTCGCGCTCCCGCTCCCTCTCTCTCTCTCTGCTCTTCTCCTCTCTCCCCTCCCACCTTTATGCTTTCCCTTTCTCTCTTGTCTTCCTTCTAGGTCCACTGGTGTTGGAGGGCTGGTGCTCAACACCCTACCTTATGTGGCTTGCCATTGGATGTGTAGCGCCAGACCCTACAAGGGTCCTCAGGTCCTTGCGTGTTATATAGACATAATCATGGTATAATGTAGCCCAGTAGCTCCTTCCAACGTTTAAGGCCGCTATGTTAAGGAAACCTGACAGGAAGGGTGTTGTATCGGTTCCGTGGACTCCGGATCTTTTCGTAGGTTGCCGAGTTCTGGATTGAGGACTTGAAGTGTTACAGATTCGGGTATAGTGCTTCGGGTTCAGGATGGAGAGTTTTGGATTTAACCAGTGCGCCCCATTGCATCCTTCAAGTTTAGGCGCCTTAGGCGGTAGGACCTGGTTTCAAATCTTTGCAGTGGTGTCTGGGATCTGGGTCGGATAGCACATTCAGTGTTCTTTGAGCGAGTCGCTCCCGCAGTTACAGTACCTTGCTGAGGAACTGCCAGGCCCCTACGATACCTACCCCAGGAGTGAGCTACTACGTTACTTTACATTCGGTAGCCTGATTTCCCGCCGATGTCAGGGCATGATGGTGATGGACATAGGTTGTGTCAACAACCTTCGGAATCTGAAGGGCAATGCTGGTACAGTAACAACCAATAATAACACGTATAACATAGAGACAACAACACATGTTTCAAGAATTGTAAAAATAATACTAATTATTAGACATAATGAACATGAATGAGAGTAAGATTGAATCAACAATAATAGCAGCCAATAATAACAACTACAAGAATACAACCCGAGATGCGGACTTTGAAGCGGGCAACTAACCCGCAAAAAGAGCTCAAGCTCTGAGGCCTTCAATTAACTGCAAGTGACTGCAAGTGATTCTTTCGTGGCTGCAGCTCGTACTGTGGCTGCTGCAGTCGCGATGGAGATTATGGAGAACTCAACCCGCCTGTCATCTTGTCAGCAATTATCATTGTACATAACCCTGGAGCCCGAACCCAGCACCCGACCTCTCTAATCTTACCTTTGATCAGTAGGGAATGGAGGAATGGGGTACAATTATAACTACTGTCGCTACCATCCTGACATCCCCTACTAACCAAAGGTAAGTAATTAAAGCACAAATGCCATGCCTCCTCATCCCTTCCTGCAAAGGGCGAGTCGCTCCTCACTTTTGCGCCCCAGCGCGGGAACGCGCAGATCCAGTACAACGCCGTGCGGCGGGTCCCCCAGAGGGTTTAAGGGTTTTAAGGGTTTTAAGGGTTTCAAGGGTTTTAAGGGTTTTAAGGGTTTTGGGGGTTTTAAGGGTTTTAAGGGTTTAAGGGTTTAAGGGTTTTAAAGTTTAGGCCTTAGGCTTTCGGGGTTTAGGCTTTAGGGTGTAATCCTTCTGTGCTGTACTGGGGGATTTTTCAAAATTGCCGCTGTTTTACTTGTCTTTGCCAGCGCATTTTAATCCTTAGTGTTACCTAGATCTTTCTCATTCATCTTCTTTTTCTTTATCCATATTCTGTTTGTTGTTACAAGTAAGTTTTTAGCATGATGACAGTTCTTCTTGTTATTATGGTCATTATTCTTGTTATTGTTATTGTTATTCTTCCCGGGATTGAGGTGGATGGGCTCTGAGGTCCGGGTTTCAGAGTCCTGGCTTGCTTTTCACAGTCATGTCAGACAAGAGGCACTCTAAAATGAGTACATTCATTTCTTTTTCCTCTTCTTTTGGGGATGGGGCTTGGGGGGTGGGGGGCTTGGATGTTGGAGTTCGGGGGTTCAGGGTTTAATCAAAGCCCTGAATCATTGCCGATATTATTCCCTATGATTCCGCATGATAACTACTATAAGATATTCTGACCCGACCCTGAAGGCCCCTATCTGAGATGATTGTGGTCGAGGGTTTCGGGTTGATATGACGGGGCTTTGGGGCTTGTGGAGTTGGTATCGGCACCTTTGGAACCCGGTCGAAGCCAAGCCCCCGGGGCCGCCAGCTCCCTGAAAGCTCTTGCGGGAATCCCCTCCTTCACCAGAGGCCCGCACATGAGCACATTGAGCTGACGCCCCTCACGCGCATTAGCGGCCCGGGCACCCAAACTTCGGTGTTGAGGATCAGGTTTTCGCGGGCAAAGGGACCTCAGTAGCAGAACCCACAGCTCGAAATCAACAGCTCCACCCTGCAGGCCTTTTGAGGTTAGGCGTTGTAAAGCTCGTGGGCCTTGAGGTGCAAGGTGAGGTTCTTCCAGGCTCCAGGGGGGCTGAGCGCTGGATTCAAGACCCTCGTCCCTTTTGCCCGAAAGTTTGGAGGCATCAGGATTCAGAGATTCTGAGTGGTGGAGGTTGGGGTTAGTGTCAGTTTAGCCGTTCTTTTTGCCTTCAGAGCCTACTTTGCCGAAGTGCTGTGGTTTGCAGGCAGTTTTGGGTCTAGGGTGCTGGATGCAGTTACACTGGTACACCTGTGATGGCACATGCATTTGGATTTGTGGTTTCTCGTGGCTTTTGTTCGGATCGGTCTGGCGCGCAGATGAAGCCGAGGATCGAACGCACCCGAAAGAACCCAAGCCTGGAAGCCTGTGAACCCCGAGCCCTACACTCGCCAGTCTTTGACCCGAAAACGTAAACTCTTCACCCAGAATGAACTCCAAGCCTGACCCTAAACCCACATCCGCAACCTCAACCCTCAGCCCTGAAGCCCTGAAACTTTCAAGCGCTCAACGTTTACCTATACCCTGGCCCGGTAAAACCCTCATTCGAAGGTCCTGGCTTCTCCTTTCACGTCTGGCGCAATGCCATGGCGATGATGGGCATCAGGTGACTCGGGCTCTAAGGGGCTTTCGATAGGGCGGCGGGGGGGGGCTTCTACTTAGGGTTTTACGGTTCCGGGTTGAAGGTTTGGGTGGGTCATGCAGGGATTCTTCTATCAAGGATCCTGTTAATTAGGGTCTGAAACTATAACAAGTACGGAGTCTTCAGGACTTTACGTCTGCCTGTTGGGAGTCACGGGCAGGACGAAACGGTTTGGATGTGTTGCCGGGCCCCATACCCTATACCCCACACCCTGAGCCCTCAACCCTAAAGTGTGCGTACTGCAGACGGACTTCGTGGAGATTGCAGCTTTAGGGGTCAGGGTTTGGGGATTAGGGGAGACGGAGGGGGCACTTTCCAGGAAAGGAATACCCAGCAGTTCAATCAATGCTGGTACCTTGGAGTTCAAGCAGGCACGATGACCTTGTGGGAGGTACTTCTGCGGCAAAGCATGCCTAAACCCCGAAACTCTTCGACACCAGAAGCCCTGAACAGCCCAACCCCGGAGAGTGCGGGGGCCGGGTTCAGGCGTAGGCTTCAGGGTGAGGCTTAACTCCTCTTTCCGCTCTAAGTCCAATTCCTGAAGCCCTAAGTGCAGACATCTCCATCTCCGACAGATTTTGTCGGGAAGCGGGAGAGCTTGCCATACTCAGGACTTCGTGTACGTGGGGTTCGGAGGATTCTTACAGTAATGCACTCAACCGGCATCCTGACATGAAGAAGCTCCGGTGTAGGCATTTTCTAAAGCCTACGAGAGGACCCTGTCACGTCGTCCAAAACTGTACCCCGTGCAGCAATTTACGACAAAAAAGTTGCGTGGCTCCCCGGCTCTGGTCTGTTTAACATCGGGGCCTAGACAATTGCATATTATAACTATAGTATAATATACCCCCAAACCTTATTCTAATTGTTAAGGCCCCTGCATGATAGTACCCGTCCAGCCCCCTTATGGCAACCCTTAGACCCCTTTAAAGGAACCCTATGCCCCTACATTATGTGCTAGTCATCTGCGATTTGAGCTTGCTGTGGGCGCCTTGCTTGGGCCAGGTTGTTCTCTCCATACACGGAGAAGGCCGGAGCTTTCCTTTGGGCAACAGTTCCTGCTTGACCTCGACGAGAGCGGCCCCCCCGGATCTGAAGCATCAAACTCCTCAAACTGAGCAACTAAGCCCTCATAATAATTATGATCATTGTTACTATTGTCATTATTATGTTCTTCATGTTCATCATCATTGTTATTGTGAAACCCGAATGCCTGTCCGAAACCCGCTAAGACGCTTCGAACCTCCGAAGCAGTAGCTCTCGGATTCGGAGCTGACGAACCAGCGCTTAGACCCCAGTCCTTCCATCCGAAACTCTCAGGCTTCCTCCTCCCTAAACCCTGAAACCGCAAGCCCCAAAGTCGGAGTCCCAGAGCCTCCCAAGAAGCATCTTTCAGCTGAGCCCAGAAAGCCGCCTCCGAACTCAGCAGACAGGTTCCACACAGCATCACCCCGCAAGGAGCCCCTCCACGGAGCCCCGGGAAGCTCGCAGGACCCTATACCCCCATAAAAGTCGTGAAACCCCGAGACGACAAAGACCCAAAAACCCAAATCCCCAAGCACACCAGAACCCTGAACAGAGGCCCCAAAGTAGTTCCCTTTTGGGATTACCCTATAGGATTCTATATATGAACCCCAAAAAGGAACTACTTTGGGGCCTTAGAACCTCAAGCAAGAGAGCCCGAAATCCCTTCATGGCGAGGCCCTAAGCCCGAAGTTATAAACCACCAACCCGAAACCCTAAACTTTACTGTTACTCGATTCCAAGCCTTAAACCATAAGCTCTAAGAAGCTCTAAACCCCAAGCCCTCAATGCACCTTCGCCATAAGAAGGTGGTGAGGCACATCCCCCACATCAACAGCTACCCTGAGAGCAAAGCCATCCTCTCGGACCGCTAGAGATTGGAGGGAGTGGCGGTTGAGAAGGGCCTCTTTGGTTCGGGGGGTTAGGGATTTAGGGTTCAGGGTTTGGGTTCCAGAGGAGTGTGGGGTGTGGGGGTTTGGGAGTTTTTCGGGGTTTGGGTTTGGGATTTAGGGGATAAGGTTCAAGGACTTTGCGCTTTAGGCTTGAGGGCGCTGAATTGGGTTCGAATTTCTGGTTCGACAGCGTTTCTTCATTGTTAATGATGGTCTTATGACTTATTCCGTCTTATTCCCCAAACAGCGAGGTAACACCTGGAGGGTTACGAAGGATTCGATTACTGGCATCGCCAAGCACGCCAAGCGCAGCACCTGGCGGTTCCGCGGACTCCCCTGTGACAGTGGATGGCTTTAACTTGACGAGCCGAAATCGCATTCTCGGCACAGTTCCGCCTCTTCCACCAACCGACGCCGTGTGCAATTCAGTGTGGTCTTTCGCATGCGTTATCCGACTGTTGCTTCAGCAGTGTAACGAGAATCTGGACAGAATTTTCGGTTGTCATGTTTTCGGCTTAGGTTTCTTCAGTGATTCAAGGTTTTGGGACTACGGTTTAGGGTTTAGAAGTGGGGTTTCTGATTCCCAGAGTGATGTACTATTTTGGGGTTCGGGGTGTAAGGTGGCAGGGTCCCGCGATTTCAGGCGTCATAGTTTAGGTTTTCGGTTTTGGATTTTGGGGTTCAGGGATGGGGATTGGTATGAATCAACATCCATCTCCAAATCCAGCCAAGAGTCGCCTCTTCCCCATGACCCCTGTGGCAGGCCCAACGCATTGTATGAGTCTTACCGAACCTCAACACTTCGGTGGACGTCTCAGACCCCGAAGCCTGAACCCTAACTTAATTAAGGTTGAACGCTGAATCAGAAATCCCGATCCCTGCACACCCCCTGAGTCCTGAAACCGAAGCCCCGCGCCCGGAATCGCGCTCTGGTGAAGGACTTCAGCGCTTCCATCATGTCCTCCATGTTGCGGAGCACCCAGGAAAGGGTGGGAACCAGGAAGGTTTTAGAGGACGAACCCTTCTGAAGGAGAGGCGGTGATGATGACGAGGAGGAGGCGGAGGAGGACGCAGAAGACGATGGTGATGATGATTATGATGATTGGTTTGAGTGCTGGTAGATCACATTTGTCTTCGGGGTCCTGGGGCTGCCTTCGAATCAATGCACTCGGGCCCCTCCGCCCCTGTCCGGGAGCAGCTGCACCTTCGCCAGGTCATCGTAACATGCGTGATGATCCTTCGCTTCTCTATCATGAAGAGCGGATGGAAGGATCTCTAAACCCTACACCTTAGACCGGTGCAACCCCCAAACCTTGAAAGCTATCACCGAAGCTCTCAAACCGTAAAGTCTTAAACCCCCTCAAGGCTTAAGTCTCTGCAGTCGCAAAATCCTGAAGCTCTTCTCCAAGGTCGATGCCCTTCAACCACGTCTTCTCCTGGGCATGCTGTTCGCCTGACCCCAAGGTCTCTTTCTCCTTCCTGGGATGTGGGGCTTAGGATTCACGGTTCACGTTCAGGGCTTAGGGTTCAGGGTTTGCAGGCGTTAGCGCCGTTTGGATTTGTAGGCTTTAGGGTTGCGGACTTTTTTGTGGAAAAGCCGTCTAAAAGGTGGCTGTCCAACCTGAGACCTTACTCCTCCAGCGCTGGGTTTAGAGTGTGGCTAGATCCTAAATGTGCCTGAAGCATCTCGGCCCCTTCAAACGCTTCTAAATCCGAAACCCCGAGCCCCCAATGTCTGTATCTACTTCGGAAAACGATGAAATGGACTTAAAGAGGCTCTTCTGTGTTCGTCTTGGGAACCTTTCGAGCGCTTCTTGGTTTCAAGATTTCGACACCTTTAGACGCAAAGAACCACGACAATCAGTTAGGGTATTGGAGTTTAGGAGTTGAGGTGTTAGGTTCAGGGGTTCACGCGCCAACCCTGCGCTTGACCCAAAGTTTATCCATCTCAAACCACGAACCCCGCAGCCCAAACCAACACCCGAAAGGCACAACCTTCAACCTCAGCCACTACATCCCAATCACAACAAACCTTAAACCTGAAACAAAATTAATTAAATCTTGAATCCCAACTGCACCAAACCCTAAGCCCTGAAACCCCAAGCCCCTAAATTTCAAATTCAGTGTGGTTGTACAAGAATTAGCCCACAACCCTAGACTCACGCCCTAAGCATAAGGCCAGAACTGGCACGCATGTCGCAGCTCGAACGGCTGCAGGCCCACTGCCGGGAAGGTGAAGAGTTCTAGGGTTTCATGGGGGTTGAGAGGTCAGGTTTGGGCTCCAGGAATTGGGTTTCGGGTCATGTCCAGGATCGTGTTCCTAGGACCATTGTGTAGATGGCCCGCACCACCATTGTCGCTGTCCTATGAGACGTTATTCGTGCCTTATGTATACACTCGTTCTCATCTGCAGTATCCTCCCATCCTCATGTTTGCCTCTGCCTCATCCTCATTCGCCCCATCATCATCATCTGCTGCTGCTGCTTGTTCACTTCCGACGTCGCTGCCGGCCTTGCATTTTTTTGAGTCGCAAAGGTTGGTGTGGCCATAGTCGCAGATATCCTGCAGTCCAGCATGCGTCGCGTGACCAGTCAGCCCGCACGCGAGGCATATGCTACCTTCTTGATTGGGTGCCTGGCCTCAGCGGGAGGAGGAGAGGGAGGATGAGTAGAAAGAGGAGGAGTAGTAGTAGTAGTAGTAGTAGCAGGAGTAGTAGTAGTAGTAGTAGTAGTAGTAGTAGTAGTAGTAGTAGTAGTAGTAGTAGTAGTAACAACATCATCGAGAAGAGGCACGAGACTCGCAAGAGTGATACGAGAGTTGAAGCCTAGAAGCTCAATGAAGGTTGTGTTGGCAGCAACACAATGAAGAGGGAGCACGAGCGGTACGAGCAAGCACTGAGAACAGCCATGTTAATCGCAATGATGCTGTACCCAAACAACACCAGCAACAAGCCTCCAGACTTGCATTAATGGAAGTGCTCTCACACCCATTCGAACCTAAAGCAGCGCACCTAGTCAAGGATTCCTTGATTTCCGAAAGCCAGAAATTGATTCTACGAGCTCTCAGCCCCCACTGAGCCCAAGCCCGACAGCGCACCAAAACAACTCTTTGAATCCGCATGCTCAGGAACTATTCCGCGCCCGGTAGGCCTCGAGAGCGCAGAGACTACATGCCAGGATTCAGGCTTTAGGCTTTTGCGCACGGGGGCGCCCCCTATCCAGTCGACCAGGAGCTGACTCTGTTCTCAGGACGCCTTTTGTGTTCTTTGCACCTCACCCCCTCGCACGTGGCATCAGACTTAGTCTCAATAGGCCGACGTGTTTGTCGTAATATGCTCTGAGAAGAAGAACCCAGAGAGCCCAACACCCCGTAATTAAGGAATATAGCTTAAACCATAACATGAAGCCCTATATAATTTAAGCCATATTCCTTAATTGAGGGGTATTGCGCTCTCTGGGAACCGAAGCAGGAGCCTTACCCACAAGAGCAGACCGACCGGCCATGATCTGGGAAGAACAGATGGCAAAAGCCCAAGCCCTAAGTCCGTCTGGGCTCCAGAGCCATGCAGTCTGAGCCCCACCGCTACGAATCCCCAAACCCCAAACCTTAGTCCCTAAACCCGCATGCCCAGACGCTCCTTTTCTCTCGTGGCAGGCTTAGCCTTTTGGGCCGCGACCTTATGGCCTGAGTCTCAGGGCGTTTAGGGCCGAGAGATTGTTAGGAGGGTTGAGGGTTTGCAGTTCAGGGTTTGGTGCTTGGGGTTGAGGGTTTAGGGTTTTGGGGTGGTGGGCGTTTTGGATTGGCTGTGTTTTGGTGCCTGGTTCTGCTTGTCAAGGACGCTCAATGTGAGGATCTTGGCACTCCGAAGTTCGGTACGCTTCGTGCGAAACTCTAGTAAACCCGTAGGCCACGAATGTAGAGGCCTTGGTCCTGGAAATAGGGTTTTGGGTTTTGGAGGTAGCTTAGAGTATACTTGGAATACGGAATCCTATGGGAGAGAATTTCATTTTCTTCCGCCTCCTGTAGCAGAGCCCTGAACTGAAACCCTGGTAAGCGGAAGCCCGGAAGTGGTGGACCCCAGAGCACCTAGCCGGTGTAGGGTTTAGGGTTTAGGGTAAAGTTTTATCCCCCTAAACCCTTCAACGCTGCCAAGTGTAAGCCGGTCATGGAAGCTTTAGACAAGTCATTCTGCTTTCTGCCTTGGATTCGCGGTAATCCTCTCGAAGTTTGAGGTTGGAGTGCACGGTTTAACATGCAGGGTTCTAGAGGGCTTTGTAGGTTGGACAGGTCCTAAGATTAGCAAAACCCCACAACCCCAAAAAAGCTGTTTGAGCCACTTGCACTTGCGACCACATCAAAACGAGGATCCCACACCTAAGCAGCTTTTTCAATCGAATCCCGCTTCTAAGCATCGATGTGGCCCATTCTCGGAATAAGCCACAACCATAAGACCTAAACTCTATGTTCTAAACGCTCAGTCCGAAACCTTCTGGCCTAAACACAACAAAAACACATGATTTCAAAGGCTCGACGGTAGTCGGAGCATTTTCGGTTCAGCAGGTCTAGGGTTTCAGGTTTAGATATTGGGGTTCGGGTTTCGGGCCTGCCTCCTCTTAATAAATCCTGGGGTTCCTTTAAAGGGATCTATAAGGGTACCTTTAAGGGGTTCCTTCAAGGCATGTTGCAGATTTAGGGTTTTCTTTGAATCGTACAATGCTAGCCCTGGGAGTCCAGGGGCCGAATAGGCGCAGAGCTTCGCAGAAAGTCCTCAAATCTGAGAACTAAGCTCTTAACCCTAACCCCCTGGCCCGAAGCATTGATGCCGACAAGGCCCCAAAACCCTAAACCCTATATAGAACAGTACCTCTGTATAAGAAATAAATAAAAATATATAATTATATATATATATATATATACACATACATATATATATACACTAAATAAATAAATAAATAGGGAAATAAATAAATAAGTATATATATATATATATATATATGTATGTATAGCTAGAAATCTGATAAGCCCAAACATTGCAGGTCCGCATCTCCTACACAGGCTTCCTTTTCACCGGGTGCGCGAATCCTGACGGAGGGTTTTCGGGTGCTGCTGAAGTGCAGAATCGTTTGGGAGGGTCTAGGGTTTAAAAGTTTTAGGGTTACAGGGCGGGTACGGGTTAGCGTTTCTTCGTTTAGGGTGGGCACCGAATATGGTCGTGTGAGCCTCGAGCCACAAGCCGTACTCATGCCAATCGCGGTGGTGGTGGCAGTAGTGCAGCAGCAGCAGCAGCAGCAGCAGCAGCAGTAGTTGTGGTAGTGGAGCGGTAGTGGTTGTGGTGGTGGTAAATATTCCGACCCTCATATTGACTTTTGATGGCTGCTTCGTTTTCCCGGACTGACTCTGGATTGCTTTGCGGTCGTGAAGCTCAAGTTTCGGACGTTCGGCAGGGCTTCAGTGGCAGAGTGGCTACTACTGCAGAGTGGCTACTACTACTACTACTACTACTACTACTACTACTACTACTACTACTAGTATTACTACTACTACTACTACTACTACTACTACTACTACTACTACTACTACTACTACCATTACCATTACCACTATTGACCGTGCAAGGTACCACGTCGTGGAACGCCGGTTGCGGAGCCTGGCAGGTTGGAGCTCAGCTTGGAGCCAGGGACTTTGGAAAGCTAATTTTGTGTGCCATATGGGCTGTTTTGGGGGGGCTTTTCAAGTTCCGCAGGAGTTGCAGCTTCCTAAGGCGCACGAAGTTTTTCGAGGTTTCGTGCTTGCGGCGTGTGCGCTGGAGAAGTTCTTGATTTAGCTAGCTTGCTGGGTGACAGTTCCACGCGTTAAGGGTTTATCATAAACAAAAACCTCGTGGTTCTGTTGTTAGACTGCTTTCTCGCCGCTTTGCCTCCCGCATGTAGTGTTCAAAACGCTGTTGCTTACACTCCAGCAACTGCAAGCATCAGAGCAGCAGCAGCAACAATAATAGCACTGTATGATAATGCCTATGACAGCCACGGTAGATGCGCATGGGTGCACGATTCAGCTTTGTCGCCGGAATACAGTGAGACAGCAGCATCGCCAACGAGACGAGACAATAACATAAATGACATTAAATGACAAATTTATCGACACGACACGGTCAGGACAGCAACAGTAGTAACCAAGTAGCAAGTGGAACAACAGCAGAGCGGTTGGAACGTCAGCAGAAAACCAAGACCACAGCACCCAACACAACAGGCCTGATTCCCCAGTTCCTGCTGGACGAAAAGGATAAAAATACCACCAGAGCCCTGTTCTGACTTCAAAGATTCCCATATGAAGCCCAAGAGCCTCATATACTGCGAGGAAACCAATGAAGGTCTAAGCCGTGCAGTCCTAACTCGACGCAAGACTCTGTGGCCAGGGGACGACGTGTACCACTAATCCTGTTCCACGGTGCCATCACCGGGCTGGGGCCGGCCGAGGGTGGTGAATTCCTGACCATCGTTACTGCAATTCTGACTGCTCTTTGGCTTGCTTTTGCTCTGAAGATCACCGATCGTTTGGCATCTTTTGGGTCCCCTCAGCTCCATAAGCAACCAAACCCTAGACCTGGGGGACCCGCTCCGACTTGCATCCGCATCAGGCAATAACTGCAAACCTAGCGTTTCTGGTTGCGGATTCAGGGTTTAGGATTTAGGGCATTTAGGGTTCAGGGTCCCTAAAACCTAAACCCTAAACGGTTCACCAGGGTTTCTAGAAATCATCTCCTCTTGGGAACCCTAAGCCCGAAACCCTTCACCAACTGCCGCTGTGAGCCAAGAGCCCCAGCCTCGTGGGCTTTCGGAAAGATCAGGTCCCCGGTCACCGTTGCGCAAAGCTTTTCTTAAGAATTATTGGTTCAGGGGGTTTTGGGGGTTTCGGGTTCAGGATGGTTCAGGGCTCGAGTGTAGGATTGTAGGGTTTTCGGCAGTAAGGAGGGTTGGGTTAAGCTTTTGAGGTTTGCGACTTTTGATAGCAGGTTCGGGCCTGAGGAGCGTCGCTCCGAAGAAGAGGGTCGTGGGCTTCAGCACAGAGGTTCGGGGCTGTGATGCCGGATGCTTTCTAGTAGTTTCGGCCATAGCAGGAGCCGGATTGCAAGCACTGAAGACTCAATGGTTTCAAGGTTCGTTCTGTTCTCATCTTTTGGAAGCGTCGGGAACGGACGGACTTGTCAATTCAGAAAGGCCCGGGCAGATGGACTGCCTCGGCCCGTGCAGGCTCCTCAACAGGGAAGTTAGAGAGGCTTCCCAGCCTGATTTCTGCGTCTTTTGCACTATGAAGGTCAAAAAATCCGCGAACTAATGCCCAACCTTCTATGGAGTGCAATATTACAGTACTGCTGCTGCTGCTGCTGCCACTACCACTACCACCACCGCTACCGCTACCGCTACCGCTGCCACTACCGCTACCACTACCACTACCACTACCACTACCACTACCACTGCCACTGCCACTGCCACTACTACTACTACTACTCCTCCTCCTCCTCCTCCTCCTCCTCCTCCTGCTGCTGCTGCTGCTGCTGCTGCTGCTTGCTACTACTGCTGCTACGACCACTACTACTACTACTACTACTACTACTACTACTACCACTACTACCACTACTACTACTACTACTACTACTACTACTACTACTACTACTACTACTACTACTACTACTACTACTACTACTACTACTACTACTACTACTACTACTACTACTACTACTACTACTACTACTACTACTACTACTACTACTACACTACTTACTTCTACTTCTACTTCTACTTCTACTTCTACTTCTACTTCTACTTCTACTTCTACTTCTACTTCTACTTCTACTTCTACTTCTACTTCTACTTCTACTTCTACTTCTACTTCTACTTCTACTTCTACCTCTACTTCTACTTCTACTTCTACTTCTACTTCTACTTCTACTTCTACTTCTACTTCTACTTCTACTTCTACTTCTACTTCTACTTCTACTTCTACTTCTACTTCTACTTCTACTTCTACTACTACTGCCATTACTAGACCACTACTACTACTGTTACTACCACCACTACTACCACTGCTACACAGCTACCACTGCTACCACTGCTGCCACTGTTACCACGGCCACCACTGCCGACGACGACTGCGACGACGACGACGACGACTACTACTACTACTGCTACTACTACTACTTCTACTTGTACTTCTACTACTGCAATTCGCACTATTGCTACTTCTGCTCGTGCTGCCGCGGCCACTGCTTCTGACACCAGTCCTTCTTCTACTGCTGCTGCTGCTACTGCTGCTACTGCTGCTGTTGCTTTTCGTAGTACACTACAAGCTCTTCTGCGACCAGTGCTTGTTCTCCTACTTCGACTAGTCATCTCGAACAGACGACGGCAAAGATACCGGTATACAGCCGAGATGAACAATGCCAAAACCACGGCCGATCCGTGCGGGAGCCTGTGCGGGTTGTGTTTGTTTTCCAGGGTCCGAAAGGACCGGTGTGCACAACTCTGCAAAGCAAGGCAGGAATCTCGGCCAGCCATGGATCTCGGAACTGGGTGCTTCCGGATGTTGGGCGCGTTTCAGGGTTGTCTGTCAGCTTTTTTTTGTGATTTTTGAGGGGTTTAGAGGGGCTTAGAGCTGGAACTCGCTTGCCTTCGGTTTGCAGCCTTGACGCTTGCGGCTTTAAGCTTTTAAGTTTGTCGACATGGTGGCGACAGGGTTTAAAGTGTAATCGGCGCGGATAGGAGAGATTTGTCAAACATGGAACAGTTTTTGCTTCGGATTAAACCGTCATGTTGAACATGGAAACGGCGCGATGTTAGCCCAGCACGCCTGTCGAAAAAAACCTCCGACAGGATCTGAGCTGATCTCGAATTCTGCTGGGCTCTTGAGCTGTTAATGGATTATTGAGTTACATCCCCATGGCATATCGATACGAGTTGTGTTATTGTTTTGTCCTGTGCTTGCGGTTATACCGTTTCCAAACATTCATAGAAGCAGGTATGGTAGGAAAACAGCCATTCAATGTGACTGTGGCAGAAAGATGACAAACCAATTTTGATGTAGCGGGGCTGCTCTGGTTTCTAAACCCTAAGCGGAGTGAGGAGCGCCGCCAATGACAAGCCCCTTGCCCAAGCCTTTACTGTTACACTCCGAGAAACGAGGGTCGTTTCTTGACGAAATCTTCCCTTAGTGAGTGCTACTTGGATTATGACCACCCCCTGTGGCCCTTTTCCAGAGTCGTTTCGAAGAGGCATTCCAACAAGACGAACCCGTTGAAACACCCGTTGCGGTCCTTGGAGTGCAGAGTTCTCCAGTATGCACAGAGAACACACGCATCCGTGTACGGTTGTGTAGGCGTGTGCACATCTTTCAAATCGATGCCTGCATGCACACGTGTGAAAGCAGTGTACTGCAATGTAGTGACTGGTGTATTATGTAGTGCAATGTAGTGTAGTGCAGGGTAATGAAGTGTAGTGTCGTACAATATTGGGTAACGTGGTGTACTGTAGTGTACTGTCATACAGTATTGTGTATTGTCGCGTACTGCATTGTACTGTGATGTGATTTGATGTCATGTTATGTATGGACGTGTAGAACAGGCATGTCTACAAGTTCTCTTTATATGATGTTTCAATGTGTTCATCAAGATCCCTGTCCGATTCTGCTGACCTCGGCTTGATCGCACATGTTCCTTCATGTGCTGGCCCGGGCAGACCCTGCCCGACAATACGATCCAATGTTTCCAAGGAGGAGGGACCTGCCTGTTCTCGACCCTAAGCGTACCCCTAGCCGCCACGCTCAGCAGAAATCTCGTATCGGTTTCGGCTAGATGGGGAAATGTAGCTTGGTGTTTGTGACCAAAAGAATCAGGTGTGTTTGGAAGATTCTTTCTGGTGGGTTGCATCTGTAGGAGATGTTTCGAGTCGGAAGGGAGCATTTGGAACGTTACACCCTGAACCCCGAACCTATGATCCCTGAACACCTTAAGGCCGAGACGTTGGACCCTGAACCTCAGATCCTAAGCCCCATGAGACCGTACTGTGCACTCTGGGTTTGGGTTCGCTCAATGTTTAGGTTTGTGGTCCTAGTCTTGCGGTGCATCTCGGGATACTTCTGGCCTATGATCCAAAGGTAGCATATTGAATCGGGTTTTTGTGGGTATAGCAAAAGATACAGAACATATATGGGGCTTACCAAGGAATACCATTCGTGCCTCTCGAGTATCAAGGTCCAAGCTGCCGGGTCTAGATGTGGAGGGTTGACTCGGGTTCTGCATCTGGGCACTACACCCGAAGCCCTGAAACGGCACTAAATTTAAATCCAAAACCCAACACCCTAAACGTAAAACCCTAAACCCAATACCCTCAACCTAAAACCCAACACCCTCAACCCCAAACCCAAACGGCTCCACGTCGAAGTGGCTTGCGATTTCTTGCCATCTGCACTCAGCCAGATCTCTCTTCCACCAACGTCTAGGCGAAGCACAGAAAGAGATAGAAGGGATGGTGCAGGGATGAGGGTTCATAATCGTTGTACTGATGAAGGCTCCTATGTCAGTGGCTTTTGAGGCTGTACGGTTCAGAGCCTATATTCGGAGACTTCGTTTTCCGTTCTGGAATGATTTAGGTTCAGGGTGTGGGGTTGAAGGGCACGTGTGTACTCTCGATCTGTGTGAG